ATTTCAATCTGTGCCGTTCCGTTCACATGCGAGCGATAATGGTAAGTAGCCCGCGTCCACCTGGCCCCAAACTTAGCTAAAGCCACGAAAACACCACACAGGTATGAAGGTAGGGCTACAATATAGTTCCTAACAATTATTACAACGTCGGATTTGGAGCTCTGTAATGATGTCTGCTTGGGAGGTGAGGGTTGGAAAAGTACTATTTCTGGGGAGGAATACTTTACCCGAAAAAAATATGAGGACGTTCTAAATGGGGTTAACTGTAACCAAGATCAAGTACCTATCTAACGTAAATAGGTCACCATGTTTCAGTATGTTTTGGATAGACAATAGCTGTTTTGTCTCAAATGGTCGCCGGTGTAACAAATACCAGCTGTGTTCTTCTCGGCTGTCCTTAGATGTTGATTGTCTGGCCGGCCTCCACCACTTTTGCCTCCACCCCTGCGCTCTGGAGGACAACCGGGGAAGATTTCGGCATAGTATGATGGCCCAAGACGCCATGTGGCCTCTATATCACATTTTTCTGGTTAAAATGGTCATTCTATTTATTCAGCTTATAGCATTATCATATCATATCTATTTTCATAGCACAGCATAGTGGTAGTATCATATCATTTTATATTCCAAGTATCATTTCCATTTATTTTTTTTTAATAACGACGGAGGGGAGCCTGACTGGGCCAGGGGGGCCGAGAAGGTCTCACACACAAAGGTTTTCGAGCTTTGCGAAAAAAATTGACTGCCCGCGTCGCACGGAATTTTTGACAAATTCATATTCATCTTTTGTACATCTCGTGTGCAAGCTTTAAGTTTTAGCGGGTTAGATCACTTGCTGAGGTCATGTCCGAGGCGAAACTCAGAACAAATTGCAACCATTAAAGCTTGTTAAAGCCGGAGAGACATCGAAGTCACGTGTAACAAGTGTCGTGTTGGGTGTTACATGTATGTGACGTGTTTACAATAAAATCATCTTCGCGTACTCAAAACAAAAAATATTTTCCTTGTCTCACTTCGGCCATGGTCCAGTCTGATTTATTATAACCCTCGATACCTTTATATTGACCCAAGTTAAAACGGAATGTGTTCAGTTCGACTCACAATGACCCATTCTCTTCTCTGACATTTCATTTTTGCGCGATGCTCAGAAAATGGAAAGCCGTCCAGCCGTCCAGGTGGAGAAATTTGAGGATTTTAGGTTTTGTTGAGAATTCAACGAAAATTCCCACTTGGGTGCAGTATCAAATTTCTCTCGATATTTGTTGACCTTAAATTTGAAGTAAGGTCGCAAATAGCATTTTAATAAAAGCTGTCTCCCAAACAGCTTTCATACATCACTTCTGAGTCTCGTGTTCGCAGCATTCGGTCTGCGGGGGCACCGTTCCCTGGGCGTTAAGCTGGACACCGGCTCCGGTTGAGGTATCGGCATTTCACACAGAAGAACTGGGTGACTGGTTACGGACTTAAAGGGAGTGCTCCACATTTGTGTGGGGTTTTGAACTAGCCATATTGAAGACCTTTTGATGCAGCTCATGGTCATGTCCTTTTAAAGACCTAGGGCTCTCTGATTATTAAGCTTAAAGGTCGCAAAGATGTGGGAGAGTTATTTGGGAGAGGATTTGACGGTCATCTTGGCATTCATGACGTCAGAATAACGTCATTCAACTCTTGCCATTTCATAAGCCATGCGGTGATCAAGGCCAAGGCAAATATAATGGTGGAGTCATTCGTATCCCTAGTTCGTAAGCACGATTTTCAGATATAATGGCCGTCAATCAGCTCTCAATCGATGTTGTGCAAGGTACAAAGACGTGGTCGAGCATTGACGTATCCTGGAGCATGTTTACTACAAAGAGAAATCGTGTGAGATCTAGAGCAGTCTGTTTTAATTGAAAGCATACTGACAGTTTTATGTGAGCTTGTTTCATTATATCTGATGCTTATTTCAATATCTTCAAACGTGAAACGTTCCCTTTAAACGCGCGAACAGGTCTGGACTTTTTATATCAGGTCGTAATAGAGAATGATACATTTATCTCACCGGCCAGATAAACTGGCATTGTGGAAAATTTTCTGTAATGTTTTTGTTTTTGTTTTTGTTTTCTGTCGTCATGTTGATTACCGTATGCTATTCAAAAATAGAAAATGTTCTTCACGGTAATCTAGTGGCTTAACAGCTAGCCGGTTGTGATGACCTTTTTCCATCCGCCGGAACGCTTCAACTTCCGCCGGTCCATGCTGAAGTGTCGCGTTTGAGTCGATGGTGCGACCGTAAACGACACAAGCTGGCCTGAAGTGTGTTCTTAAGCATATATAAGAATGCGTCATGTTTGGCACGAGATTTGTCCACGCGCGTTTTGTGAGTAGTTTGTTGCATTGAACTGTCTTGGTCATTAGCCAGCAGACACCCATGAAAGAGACAGTTAAACTAACTGAGAATTTTGTGGAGGCGCAAGCGGCAGCTAAACGATAAAACATTTATGTTGAAAATACGTTGGAACTTTGGCAAAATAGTGAAACAAGACATAAATAGTAAGACAAAAAACATTGCAGGAATTTTTCCAGAATGCCAGTTTATCTGGCTGGTGAGATAAATGTATCATTCTCTATTATGACCTGATATAAAAATCCAGACCTGTTCGCGCGGTTAAAGGGAATGTTTCACGTTTGAAGATATCGAAGTAAGCATCAGATATGATGAAACAAGCTCACATAAAACTGTCGGTGTGCTTTCATTTAAAAAAGACTGCTCTAGACCTCACACGATTTCCTTGAAATAGTAAATATGCTCTAAGATACGTCAATGCTCGACCACGTCATTGTACCTTGCACAACATCGATTGAGAGCCGATTGACGGCCATTATATCTGAAAATCGTGCTTACGAACTAGGAATACGAATGACTCCACCATTATATTTGCCTTGGCCTTGATCACCGCATGGCTTATGAAATGGCAAGAGTTGAATGACGTTATTCTGACGTCATGAATGCCAAGATGACCTTCAAATCCTCTCCTAAATAACTCTCCCACATCTTTGCAGCTTTTAAGCTTAAGAATCAGAGAGCCTTAGGTATTTAAAAGGACATGACCATGAGCTGCATCAAAAGGTCTTCCATATGGCTAGTTCAAAACCCCACACAAATGGACCACTCCCTTCAATTCTGTAACCAGTCGCCCAGTTCATCTGTATGAAATGCAGATGCCTCAACCGGAGCCGGTGTCCAGCTTAACGCCCGGGGAACGGTACCTCCGCAGACCAAATGCTTCGAACACTAGACTCAAAAGTGATGCATGAAGGCTGTTTGGGAGACGGCTTTAATTAAGAGGTTATTTGCGACCCGACGTCAAATTTTAGGTCAACAGATATTGAAAGAAATTTGACACTGTACCCAAGTGGGAATTTCCGTTGAATTATTAACAAAACCCAAAAATCCTCAAATTTCTCCACCTGGACGGCTGGATGGTTTTCCATTTTCTAAGCATCGGGCAAAAATGAAATGCCGGAGAAGAGAATGGGTCGTTGTGAATCGAATTGAACGCATTCCGTCTCAACTCGGGTCGGTTTAAGGGTATCGGAGGTTATAATAAATCAGACCGGGCCATGGTCGAAGTGGGACAAGGAAAACGAGTATTTTTAGAAAACGCGAAGATAATTATATTGTAGACACGTCGCATACATGTAACACACAACAGGACACTTGTTAAACGTGACTTCAAAATCTGTCCGGTTTTTAACAAGTTTTAATGGTTGCAATTCGTTCTGAGTTTCGCCTCGGACATGAACTCGGCAAGTGATCTAACCCGCTAAAACTTAAAACTTGCACACGAGATGCACAAAAGATGAAGATGAATTGGCAAAGTCCTGGGATTTCCAAGAATATGTCATCCCGTAAAGATTGGACGAATTACTATGCCAAAAAGCGCAAACTCTTGTTTTGATACCTCTCTTTCCCAAAACTACAAAAGGCTAATGTTTTCAAGCATTACATCTTTTGCCCTGACATAAGGTAATTGCTTGACTCTGGATAAGGTTTTGAAGTAATGCAAATGTGCGAAAATGTCCGGGGACAATCTACTAAAAATTCAACCGCACTGCGTCTCTTCATTTTCTCGCTATACTAGAAAAACCTCAGAGATGCCAAATTTCTGACTCCCGCGCGGGATATGGTAAGGAATACGTACCTACTTACATGGCGGCAACAAACAAGCGTGCCTTTCGTTTCAGTTTCTTTGTGTTGTAACAGTTCTCTCAACTGTGTTGAGAGAACTGTAGGAAACCCCACAGGACTTCCTTTCTACATCTTCAAGAGGTTGCCTTCATCCATTTCTTTCCTGACTTCAAGCTATCATGAGTATCATCGCTGATCGAACAAAAGGTGCGAGTACCGATGCTAGGATGATATCCAGGGACGGCACCACCAGGGCCGCTGGGACAGCTACCTCCTTTTCGTTCGCCAGCGTGCATACATCTTTTAGTTCCCCTTGAAATTTAGGAAGGCACTATCATGGCCGCCGGAGACCGGAGATGGCAAGATGATATATTGTGTGTTTAAATGGTCTAGGTGAAGTCTGCTGATAAGAAGCTTTGAAATTGGAATAGGACATACAAATCGGTGGCACAGCGCAAAGAACACGAAGAATTTACAAAGCAATGATAGCTTACGAGAACGCCGGTTACGAAACGCATAACCTCTCACCCGCATTTACTCAAATATCTGGCGAAGGTGCTTAACCTCGTCCCCCCTATCCAAAATCGATGGCACCGTCCCTGCCTGTAGGGTAATTACACGATTTGAAAACTTTGAAGCAGGCATGTTTAGATTTTCTATGCACACTGCCGATGCCATTTTTCGTAACTTAAGCCATATTTTGGGCCAAATGGCGGCAAGCTGGTTAATACCGCGTAATGGTCACTTGCGGGTGAAATCGGACTACTTTGTACCTAAAATCCTGTGGTCCAAATGTATGTAGGGAGGCTATGTAGGGCTTTAGCTCTCCCCAACATTAGCTGTAGGCCATCTCCCTCCCCAAATTTCATTGCATTTTCCCCATTTGTCATAAATCGGTTAAAACGGCATCCATTTCCCTCTCCTCCACAATCATTGTTTTTACTAAACGTTTCGTGACTGATAAAACAGTTAAGTATGCGCTCGAACATTAGGAGTGAGCTTACGTGTCATATTTTAGTGAGCCTATTTCTTTGCAGCTCTACTATATCGTTTGTTATACTACCCAGGGTACCTACCAGACCTGTTCACTCCCAAGCCAGCTAAAGCCTCGCCCGGGTTGCGCATATGGGAGTACTTCGCATATTTTAGACAGAAGTAAATTATGGTGGCCACTCAGAGTCTACTCAAAGTTGCTGGGGTAGGGGGTTTATTGATCGCTGGAGCTGCCACATTTGTAAACTCCAAAATACAGGTAATGAAGTGTGCCGGAATGCCGCGATTATCATTCGTTAAGGCTCACGTGTGATGTTGATGGTTATGAGGATCTAAATATGTGCGTCATATAAAGAAATGACACTTCAAGGGACTGAGCTGACAAAAAGCCTGCGTGTTAAGCATGTACATACTCTTGCATTCTTTTCATTTGCTTGGTATATTTCTTTCAGTTTTGCCTTCGGTGCACTAATGATCGTAAGGTTCTGGTCTGAGTATGGCCCATATTTGAGAAGCATGCGTGGTCGATAGTGCTTATTTCATCATTGGCACATGTAAGCTTCATGCTGTCATGGACATGTTGCCATTGGTATTGGCTTAAAACTGGTGATAACAGTGCTGCATGAATACATACATTCCACTAAACTCAAGGTGGCTGTTACATTTACATTTATTTTCATCACCTTTGGTGTTTTACATTTGCAGTGCTCATATATCATGTGTGAAAGCAATGAAAAACAGCCAGACATTGTGCCAGTGGTTAAGGCACTCAATAATGGAACCAGACTAAGGGCATCAGTTATCATGCTGAAGTTTTCAGTGATCCTGGCATGTCCTGATAAGTGGTAGTGTTATCTGGGTCTTGCAGATTTGCAGTCTGCTTAAATGCCAGGCAGTCTCACTTTTATTTTGTTCAAACTAGGGGCCATGATTTTTTGTAAAAAAATATTTATTATCTAAGTTTCCCAGTCATTAGAAATTGTTTGAACTCATGCAGGGTAAGCCTGTGTAAACTGGGGCCTGTGATTATTTGTATTAAGGATTGACTTCATACCCAAGTGTGTTCCCAGTCATTAAAAAGTCTTCCACCTCTTGCAGGGGGAGCCTGTGCAAGGACATGACTGCATTGCTCACATGAACTCATGCATTTGTTGTTGTGTTATGTAGATCTCAGAAATGAACCTTACAGTATTGCATTTGTTGGGTACCATTTCTCTTATTGATTACTTGTGATCTCCAACAACCTTGGTCGGGCAGCCATGATCCACCAAGTTGAGGCCACTGGTGATGCATGGGGCCATCAGTTACTGACCTTGGTAGACCTTGTACACTGTCCTATGGTGAGGCTAAATTTTGAGAGTTTAAGCAAACTGCCAGTAGGAAAACCCACTCCTGACAGCAGCAATATAGCCCATTATGTTGCATTGCAGCCCAAACTGAACATTACAGCATTTTGTAGCATGGAAAGTGGGTGCTGTCTTTCTGATAGTATGTTTAATCATGAATTTACCAGAAGTGGCCGCACTTATGAAGGAGGATGCATCCGTCTTGCCGTGTGCACAGGCATCAAAACTGCTATAACAGACACCAAAGCAGCTGTAATGGACACCAGAGCAGCTGTAACAAGCACCAAAGCACCTGTAGCAAGCACCAAGGCAGTTATAACAGATGCCAAAGTGGTTTAACAGGCACCAAAACAGCTGTGACACAACAGGCACCAAAGCAGCTGTAACAGTCATCTAAGCAGCTGTAACAGGCATCAAAGCAGCTGTAACAGGCATCAAAGCAGCTGTAACAGATGCCAAACCATCTGCAACAGGTACCAAAGCAGCTGTAACAGGCACATAGCCACTATAACATGCACCAAAGCAGCTGTAACTAACCAAGGCAGCTGTAACAGGCACCACAACAGCCATAACAGGCACCAGAGCAACTAACAGGCACCAAAGCAGCTACAAAAGGCACCAAAGTAACTGTAAATGGCATGAAGATTGTTGTATCAGGCACTAAAGCTGCTGTAATGCTGGCCTGTTGGCTGTCCCCTCCCCCTGACCTGACCCGCGGCCGTCCGCCAGGCGGGTCTCAAGCAGGGCGCCTGGTTTCGGGAGTCGATGCGACTGCTGCGCGCGCACCCTGGCGCAGTTTCCGTGCTGGGCGAGCCCATCACCGACGGCCGTCTGGACCTGGCGAGGCCCGAGGCCAACTTCTGCGACGAGAGACGCGTCCAGTTCCGCGTGCCTGTCAGAGGTGAGGTCCAGGCGCGTCACAGTGCTCCCAGTGTGCCGTGCCATGTGCGAGGTGGCGAAATAGTCCGTCGTTGGTGCTGGCTGCTCGCCCCCCCCCCCCCCCCCTCCCGCCCCTCGTCCTTGGCTGCCGCCGTTCGGAGTGCTTGTGGCGGTCCAACGCTGGGCCTGAGGATATGATGCGTCAACACTATCCACCACATTGGTGCCAGTCACACGCGCACTGGCTCCGTGTGAGCGCGGCATCATCCGTGCGTAGTCACGAAACGCCGTTGACTGGTGCGTGGGCCTTCCGCTCCGTGCGACGAGATGGCTGTCACTGCCAGTACCGCCGCTCTCTGACGCTGCCCGCCAGTCAGCCGCCAGCATGACGGGGCTGTGCAGTGTTCAGGCGCTCCGCTGTCGAGGCTGTCGGCGCTGGCTGACGCTGCGCGCGCTCGTGCGTCGGCAGGCCCGAAGGACAAGGGCCACCTGCTGCTGTGGGGGTCGCGCCCGGCGGACACGTGGCAGGTCGACCGGCTGGAGCTGGAGCTGTCCAGCGACCCGAGCCGCAGGCTGCTGGTGCGCGCCGCCGAGCAGCCGTCACCGCAGACCTCGCCCAGCGCCGCGCCCGTCTCGTCCAGCGCAGCGCCCGCCTCGCCCAGCGCAGTGCCCACCTCACCCATCGTAGCGCCCGCCTTGTAATCGGCCGGGAAGCCTCGTGCCTCCAGCGGCCAGCGACGGTTGCTCTGGTCTCGGCGGCGAGGGACCGAGGACAGGAGTGTTTGGACGGGCGGGGTGTTGGAGCGCGCCCGGCGCGGCACCGCCATGTCGGAGAGTGTGCTGAACGGTGTGATGGCCGATCGCACCGCGGCGGCTCCGGGTCCAGTGTCGGACAGCGCCGACGCGTCGGACCGGGTACCGGCCGGTAGTAGCGCAGCACCCATCGCGGCGGCGGACGGCCCTCTGGCGAGCCCAGCCGCGGCAGAGCCCCCTCCACCGCCGCCGACGCCGCCGCTGCCGTCTTCGCCGCGGGAGGACGCCCTGGAGGAGGAGGACGGGCTGACGCACCACGAGCTGGAGGCGGTGTACCGCAGCACGCTGGCCGACCTGTTGGCCGCTGACCCGCTACTGAGCGACCTGCCGCCGGCGCCGACCCCGGCCGAGGTCAGGTCCCTGTTGGCCCTCGAGCATGGCACGGCCATGGCCGTGCTCTTCAACAGAGGAGACAAGGTGAGGCGCGTGGCGGACGGCTAAATGGCCAGACAAACCAGTTCTGACCGGCGAAGTCTGTAGCGCTGGCTAAGTGTTTTGCCATCATTCATTTATCGTGCGGGTATATGTAAAGTGCAGGACCTGTGTGGGCCTTACATGCTGAATGGTGTAGACGTCGATTGTCTCGTGACCTCGAGCTGGATAGCTCTGACCAGTGACTCCAGTCTGCATGGTCTGCCGTGTTGTCCGGGACTGTTAACCGATGATGTCTGGTTTAGGACACGATGGTCTGACTCGCAATCTCTGACCTTTGACTGGTGACATATGACCCGCGACCCCACCCTGGTGACCCCCGACCTGCCGGCAGCTGACCCGGGTCATTGTGGAGCGGACAGCTACGGTGCGTGACCTGAAGCGGGCCCTGCGCGGCGCCGTCGAGCTGGAACTGGTGAGGGCTGAGCCCCGCCCAGGGGGGTGTCATCCGTATCGGTTAACACTATCAAAAAGTGGCAACATCTAGCTTGCGTGAGAATACAGGTAGTTTGGCAGCAAAGCCTGCATGACGTCAAGTATACCATATTTGATGACGTCAGTGGCACGGAAGCCTCTCAATTAGCCAGCTGACTGCTACACAACCCACTAGTTTGAATGGTGAGTATGTTTTGGGGGCGTGCGGCTGGCGCTTCCCGGTTGGACTCTGAATGAGTGGTACACGGTTTTTTCATGCAAACACAATTCTGGAAGGGAGATTGAATCTCGGAATAGTTTGACCTCATCAGAATTTTGTATTCTTCCGTGGGGTGTACATAACTAGGGGTTAAACGTCATGCGGCGTTTGTAGCGCATCGCGTGTCGCAGTTGCTTGGCTCTTTATATCAGTGGGTTGTGGCCAGTTGCCATGACTACGCCTCGTACGAGAGATCTCCTGAGCAGTTTGTCTTAAGCAATTGGTAGCATTTAAAATGCTCAGTCTGAACATTTTATTATGCATATGTGTACAAACCCCGATGTAAAGAAACACTTGACAGTAGCATCATAAAGCCAATATCATAGGGTTTTACTGTACTTACCTTACTGCACTCACATCACTGTGATAAGAGCGAGAGCTATTGCAAATCAATATTGCAAATGGTCATATAATCATACCTGTAGGCAAAGTAAATTATGCAAGCTGAGCTGTTCAACTCTGCCACCAGACACAAACGGCACAGACAAGTCTACGGCTATCTAACGACAAGCCTGGTCATGGAATGCAATACGCCACAAACGCCGCATGACATATAAACCCATGTTATAGCGTCATACATGCAAAAATCGTACATTCTGATGAGGCTTAACTGTTCCATGACTTACTGCTCATTCCAGAAATGTGTGCGAATAGCGAAATGACGGATAATTTCTTCTCAGTCCAACGGGGAACCGCCAGCCGCACGCTACCAAGACATGCCCACTATTCAAACTAATGGGTTGTGTAGCAGCTGGCTAATTGGGAGGCTTCCGCGCCACTGACGTCATCAAATATGGTATACTTGACGTCAAGCAGGCTTTACTTCCAAACTACCTCTTTTCTCAAGCAAGCTCTATGTTGCCACTTTTTCGGACCGGACGGTTCTACCTCGTTAGATAGCCTTGGCCCCGCCCCCGCCTCCCTTCGACCCCACCCGGGGGCGGTGTCATCGGGGGACGCGGTCCCCAGATCATTCCGATGCATGACGACACGCCGGTGTGCTGCACGGTATGGATCAATCCAAATGCCCGCTGTCCTGCTCCTCACCTGCCGGTTGTGTACTACAGCTTATCCCATTTTCCACGCATTATTTGCAATGTCAGGCGGAATCCTGAACTGATATCAAGAAACACCCAAATTTCAGACACTGCTCTGCAATCTCAACTTGTCATTCACCGAGCCTTAACCTTCGGCCGTGGCAAGGGAAACGGCGTACTGCCCATCGCCAGTTGTTGCGCGGGGCGTCCACCTCCAGCGGCGCTCGGCCGGTGTGTACTGCCACTGTTAACATAGCCCACGGCGCATGTAATTAGGGCTGGCATCGACCATAGGCGCTGGGTTTGCCCGCAGCCGCGCCAGATACACGGCGGCGATTGGGACGCTGTGCTATAGCTTTTAATTGTCTCCATGGCTACCACAACCATGTTCACTGCTTGGAAATGCATCGGTCCTGGTCATGTGCACACGCCCAGCCGTCGCTAACGCTTCCCGTCTGGACCACCAGGAGCGCCAGTGTCGCCGCCGGCTGATCAGCTGGCGCTACGTGTGGCGCACCAACTGGCTGTGCTTCGAGGGCCGCCAGCTGACTGACGACAACGCGCGGCTAGCCGACCTCGGGCTGACGAACCGGGCCGAGGTGCGGTTTGTGCCGCGCATACGTGCCAAACGGGGCCAGCGGGACAAGAAGGGGGGCCAGGTGCAAACCTGATCCCGTGTTGTCGTGTCAGTGGAACAAGAAGGGCGGCCAGGGACAGACCTGAGCCCCTGCGGCCGGGTCAGCGGGACAAGGAGGGCGGCCAGGGACAGACCTTAGCCCCTGCGGCCGGGTCAGCAGGACAAGAAGGGCGGCCAGGTGCAGACCTGAGCCCCTGCTGCACGGTCAGCGAGACAAGAAGGGCGGCCAGGGACAGACCTGGCTCCTGCTGCCGGGCCAGCGGGACAAGAAGGGCGGCCAGGTGCAGACCTGAACCCCTGCTGCCGGGTCAGGCGCATTGCGTTGGCGGCCGGTGATGACCCTCGTGATGTTCCCTTGTTCGCCTGTCGTAGGATGTAGCTGGATAAGCTCCCGGAGCAGGCGTGGTGTGCTGCCTACGCTTCGGTGGCATGAAGGCGGACTCTAGTCTTATCGCCGCCGGCCGTCGCTGCGTTGCAATTGGAATAATGACGGCAGTACTGGCGGCATCATTGAGATGTCGCTACCAGGTGACAGTGGTGCGAAACATATAGTGCAGAGTTGGGGTGACATACATTATGAAGAGAAGCGTCGTGCCTATAGCCTCTCTATCCAGCCTCAGCCCGAGGCACACTGGCATGCTCAATCGCAGACCGGACTCCAAACAGATCCAACTGAGGACGGATCGTCCGCGTAGGATGTTCCAAATTTGGGGAGTACAAAGCTGCCTCGGCTGTTTTGCCTAGGTACTTAACGCCATGTGTTTGCGCTGTGGGTTTAAACGAATGCGGTTGAACACAAAAGGCAGCTTGAGCGCGCTGAACTGATGAGTTTCAGCTGACGTGCTGGACCACACTGTTGAGGTGCGAGTAGTGGAGAGCTGGTTAGACAGGTGACGTTTGGCCGTGGTTATTATGGCAAGGTCTGTTTCGCAGTGACATAAAGGACCAGCAGCATGTGACAGTAAAATGAAGCCGGATGTGCTGGGTTAAATGAAGCCCCCTGATGTATTTTTCTGTGGTTATATAAAAGTACAAAGAATATCGTAAAGCATAGCTATGCTTATGCTTTCGAGGACACTTATCCGTGGGAAGATATGGATAGATATGGGCCGCCTCGCTTGCCATCAGGGATCAGGCACCATCAGATTTGATTAGCAATCAAAACAGACGCCGCCACCTGTAATTGAGGCATTCGGCTGTCACTGTTAGCGCCACCTATAATTGGGACGGAGTCGGCTGCTATTCTTATCGCCACCTATAATTGGGAGCAGTCGGCCGTCACTGCACAGCGCTCACTGGACTGGTGCTGTGGGCCCAATGGAGATACAGCCACGCAATCGGCGAGGGAGGCTGGTAGCCAGGGGTGAACGCCGGGCGGTACACATCTACGGCCGGCCCACGCTAACGCTGAACCCGCTCCAGCCTAGCAGGCCGATGCTAAACCCGCTCCAGCCCAGCAGCCGACCCAGGCCGACGCTGAGCCCTCTCCAGCCCAGCAGGCCGACCTAGGCCGACTCTGAACCCGCTCCAACCCAGCAGGCCGACCTAGGCCGACGCTGAGCCCTCTCCAGCCCAGCAGGCCGACCTAGGCCGACTCTGAACCCGCTCCCAGCCCAGCATGCCGACCCAGGCCGACTCTGAACCCGCTCCAGCCCAGCAGACCGACCCAGACCGACTCTGAACCCGTTCCAGCCCAGCAGCCGACCCAGGCCGACACAGCCCTCTCCAGCCCTGCAGGCCGACCCAGGCCGACGCTGAGCCCGATCGAGCCCAGCAGGTGCTTTTGTGATCACCTAGCTCAGCTGGTACATAATAAGCGTTAACAGCAGCACCTAACCCCTCCACTGCATAGTGATCCCCTTCCCCTTATGTGCACTAACAGGCAAGTTGTCAGAATTTCCTCGAAGGGGGGGGGGGCTAAATGACAATTTTTCTCCAAAATCCTGAGAAGTTGGGCCGAATTCCTGCGAAGTCGTCCAACGCTATCAACCTTTTGACTCTCGATTCAAGGACGGGTGACCTCCATGCGCCCGCTGCCCCGCCCCCCCCCCTCCCCCGTCTTCCCCTAGGCTTGGTTTCTAAACACCAGTCTCTAATGAAAGTCATCTGCAAGGTGACTTACGGCTTCAGGTTGTGGTCATGTTTGTTGCACTCTAAAAAGTAAACTTTAAAAATGCACGCACAAAAAGTATACATAGATAGTAAAAAAAAATGATGTAAGCAATCGGGTCAAAGTGTTCAAACAACTTATGAGCTTTGAGCTGGATTAGATAAGTGGCCAGTGATCAAAATCACATCGCGTATGGCGATCTTAAACACCCTCGGTGTTGTGGCATGACGGGCGTACGATGGCGGTTCATGCCAGGCTGCTGCGGTTCGATGCGAAAGCGCTCTCTGTGTGGCGGTCAACTGGTATTTGCTCAGGTGTAGACTACCTGCGTCCGAGGCGTGTGTTTTACGAGTCGAAACAGCGGCGCGTGGGACAAAAAGCGCGCGGATCTCGTGAGGCGCGCCTACCGCCTTCAGCACCCCTTATCCATAAATCACGTTACAATGCGCCCCTATGATCTCAATGCTCGGCCATTCAAGAGAATAGAAAGCCGGGGTTTTATGGTGGTGCTTTTGGAGGCGATAAGGACCCATGTAGCAAAGTTGATTGTTTTGTTTCCTTTTGTTCGTTTTTCTTTATTTTGGGTAGTTGACTCTTGGTCGCCCCACTAAACACACACAGGCAGTGCGTGCTATAACGGAACACGCACGCTTGGATGGTGACTTTGAGAAGATCTGAAGTAGAGCATTGACGGAATGTGTGCAAAGAAGCAAGGATTCCCCGGCATTTTTTTTCATGACTCTTGAGAGATGGACACCCCATGACAGAGCCAGAGTCAATTGTAACGCTAATAATTTTGATGCTACTTTAGGCATGCACAGTCCAACCTTACTTCAAAGTGGAAGTCGGCTGACTTTTTAAAGTCTGCTTCTACCCAACGAACACAAAAAGCAGTTTTCGTTTATTTAATTTTGAGAGGATTGACACTGAACAAATACTGAAGCTCATGCATGGCAAGTTCCAGTCTGGTTTCGAGGTCAGCGAGACCCGGCTCGTCTGGAGGCGCGCAGTTCACAAAATAGGACCGATGATGGGGAGAATAAGCCAGCTTCCACGCGCCACCTGCCCCCACCACTCAAAAAACTCCTGAGCCATCCCACATCGGTGGCGCCACACCGAGACAGCTTGGTGAGGAGGACGTCGTGGCCGATGCTATCGAAAGCCTTTGACATATCGATCGTCGTTACAGACGATACAAGACCGTCATCAGTAATGGTGACCAGGCGTTCGACTGTGGCCAGCATGGCATCCTCGGTTGGGTGGTGCGGCTCATAGGCGTAGTGGGGTGGATCTGGCACCTCTGTCAACGGATGTAATGTGATGCGAAACACACCAGTGTTGCTTCGGCCGGGCCCGGATGTACCCTGTACATTCGGTGTCAATGCCTTGTCGGAGTTCTTCCTCCTGATGTAAGGGACGAAATCGTTGGTCTGGCCTACCGCCTCAACAAATGGGCAAGTCTGACCCTAAATACACTAAAAACTGAACACTTCTCGGATTTCGCCCACTTCACTCTCTAAATGTTTGCGAGTTTGAGTCCTCCAACTGAAGAGAATCCTACGTCCTTGCTCCAACACGATTCCTCGCTCTGTCTCGACGGGGGATATCGTCGTCGGGCATCATTATAGCCCTGCTGCGCGCCGATGGTTGAAACCAGGTTTGGGTAATCGACGTGAGGTCGATTTCATGTGGCGTCAGACGTTGTTGGACGTGTGTGGCTTTGAGAATTAAAAGGGTAGGTTGGTATGCGCGACTTTCAGTGGCCGTCACGGGAACTCCCGGCCGGTAGCTGTAGGGCGGGCTGCAGGCTGCAACGCAGCACTAGCGTTCAGCATGTTTGATATAACTAGTAATGCTGTGGTGACGACTGTTGTCGGTTGATTACCGCTATCGGTTTTGTCGGTTGGTGTCGATTGTCTAGTTTTCGTTACTGTTCCACTGAACTTTCCAATATGGGCGTCTAGTAACATCGTTCCATTTTTGGATGATATGATCTGATTTTTTACATTCTCCGATAGGTCGTTGCAGAATAACACAAATTGCTGCGGTTTGTAGCAATTGATAAATCGCTGAATAATGACAAGACATTCAAACAGGGACAGAAAACTACACCGAAGTCGACGAGACATATGCAAATCTTGCTTACAAAAAACGGCAGCATTGCAGCAAAACAAAAAGTACTTAGATAAAGATCGTACAAACATTGGATATTAAAAGTCTGATAAGCCGAGATAGCTGCACTCGACCGAACATGGCGTGGCAGTGTTGTCTTGGTTCGTTCCCTTTGTCCGTGAAACAATGGTTATAAACCTTTGAAATTTATAATAATTTGCTCTTGCATTTTTAATATCATGCTTGTCCTTGGGCTCCAGAAGGTTGGGTGACCAGCCTCACCGTTTTGGGGACTTGAACATCGGGGATGGGGGGGGGGGGGGGGTAGCGGCCGACCAAAAGAATAGAAATCGACACCTGTGGTCGTACCGGTTGTACTTCTTGATCTGGCAATTTGGTTATTATATTTACAACTAGTGTCACAACGTCTCAAAGAATAAGAGTTGTTGTGGCTTCACAATGGTAAGGTCTGGCACGCAAACAATCTTGAAAGTTTGATAAGAGCTACGTAGCCAAAGGTATATGAGAAAAATCTCATAAATGTGTCCTGAGCCTTCCAGATGCCGAAAAAACTGAAGAATAGCGGACTTGTGACCATATCAGCGCCATGCCTTAATTGGGTGCGACCATGTTGTCTCTGAATGCGTTGTGGCCGTCCCTGACCGTGCATGGCTTGCAGTATAAATCTTCAAATACACCATGTGTGCAATATAATCTAAATTCAAAGTTCATACCAAATATTTGGCAGCCGGTATCTGAAGGTAGTGTGGCGCAGATGCTACAATAGTCAATGTATTTACAACTGAAATGAATGTTTTGTCCACAAACTGTCCAGGAACTGCAAAAAATGACTGATTGGCTCGTAGCAAAAAGTTCGGTACATTCTATAGGAAACTGGTAGCAAAATGCTAGATCACTCCGGTTTTGAATGCACGACCTGTCGGTTATGGACCTTGCACGTTACGGATTAAGGTACTGAAGCCTTTGGTGTATGTTTCGAAAGTTGGAAAATTCGCGGCGTACCGCGCATGAAAACTCTGACCTGGTACGCCACGGAGGTTTGGCTTTTCTAAAAAAAAAAATGTTTTACGGTTTGGCGCAAGATAATCAAGCAGCCTATATTTTGGTGCTGGTTTCATTGAAACTGAAGTAACAGAATTCGGTTCACAGCTCTGTGAAACCGAACTTTCAAACGTGAACTCTATGGGCTAATAGGAAACGTACGCCGTACAGCGGTTGTGCTACCAACGTACTTCGATTGGAGCTAGCGTGCAGATACCTTACTGCAGACTTAAAGCTCGCGTTGTTTTTCCTCTTATCAATATTTGCGCGCGAAGCAAATGAAAAGCGACACATGTAAGCATCTGTCCAGCCATCGATTGGTCTCTGGTTTGCGCGCTGGCCGTCGCGCCGGTTACCATAGCAACAGCAAGGTTCCAAAACAAACGAAATGCCAATGCTGGCTCCAGAATCGTGCCGTCCAGGCGGCAGCGACATTTTAAGCTCAGTTTTGCCAATGTCATCAACGATTAGAGCGCTTTGAAGTGTTTGTGCTGTGACGCATGGCCGAAACAAGAATACTGTAGTGTGGGGTTTTCCAGATCAACATGTCCCTTCCTAACGTCATACGAGGGCGATGCGCTGTGGTTGGTAAGTCCGTTTTTTATTTTCGTTGTGACTGTGTCCACAGAATTGATATCACATGCATACAGAAGGGAAGCTTATGTCGTATGCCACATCTCGGTGCTTTCCCTTCGTCTGTAGCATTAACTGCCTTCATGACAGATGTGGACGAATGTCTCAAGACGTGGGGCGCCGATAAGGATTTTGGGCTCAATTCTTTCCGTACGTTGCCATAGGACTAATGCTCAGCATTCTCGAAAGGGGGTGTGTCATGACGGCCACTGACTCCCCCGTTGCAAGCATTGGTGTTCCTACTCCAGTGCTTTAAAGTTGTCACTCGAGCTCTGCGACGCACTCGGTTGCTGAGGTTATATGGCGTCGCTTGCCTCTCACCCTGGCAGGAATGGCGAGCCAAGGCCCTAGAACTAACGGCGGACACCGCGGGGAATTGAGCCCCATGCCTCTGTTCTCCCAAACGCGCAGAGGTTAACGGTGATGCGCTAATTACTATCCCATCGGCACCCAATGCTTGAAAGTCAACACGCGCCCGGGTGGCCGGCTGGATGCCCTTCGCTCTAGTAGGGAGTCAATTTGACACCCCCTGTGATTTCAGGAACTAAAGTAGCTGGAGACCCCAAATTCATCGGGTATGATAACCTGTACGTGAGCTCATTTGGGTCAGAGTTTGAGGTTCCTAGGTCATGATCTTCGGGTCAAATAAGGTCAAACAAGGCCAAATTTCCGTCTGGTCTCCAAAGGGCCCCTAGAACCTAGATAACTGTTCTAAGCAACACGTTACATGCTCATTTAAGGTCAGTGACCTTGTTTGATCTTTTGAAGGTCATGGCGATCAAAATGATACAAGACTGCTGGAAGTGTTGCATTTGAATAAGCGGCAATGTTTACGCTAGGCAGTGTGCTCATAAAAACAACATGTTGACCTGGATCATTTTAGGTCAATGACCCATTCCGACGTCTAAGAGGTCCATGGAAGGTATTTAATGCGGTTTCTGTTATCAACACATTCGAAATAAGTGCCAGAAACTATCCCTTAGCCTTTACCCAGCAAGCCCTAGGGTAATCAAACATGCTGGTTTTGACCTTGGTCTGACCTTCATACCTGACCCTAGGCCAATTTAATTTGTTTATTCAACTGTCATGTTGCCCAAAAAAGTACCTCAGAGATGTATGGCTTCCTCTAACACTCCACTGTTGGATCAGATTGAACTATTCACTAGAAATTGCCTTCGCTGAAACCATGGCTTGACTTTGACCTGCCCTAGGTCAGCGACCGTACAAGGTACATCTAAATTCTTGATTCCAGACGATCAGCCATTTAATTTTCTACAGTTTTGCCAAATTTGGTGCGGCTATACCGTTTTGGAAACCGCGCCGTTTGGAAACCATTCCGGAAAAGCCTTCGGGGGGGTCAAGTTGACCCCTCACCCGAGCGCATGTTAGAATACAAAACGTATCTGCAGCTGCCGGTGTCTTGGGTTTTTTCAGCTAAAGAATGTACATATTAAAAACGAAGGTCATGTTCCGTTAAAATGAAGTGACCACATCCCGTGCCCCTGCCAAGACTCCGGCTGCGTCCCTGGTCCGGCTAGCACCCTTTCCAGTGGGCAGAAGTTTTTAGCGTCCAAGACAAGTGTGCGCCATTTGGCCGGTAAAAGGAGACAACAAAAACTTTGAAAATTTGTGAAGAGATTAGCAAATTACCTATTTTTTCGCTGCAGAGAACAAAATAATGAAATGTGCTTTTCTTAAATCTCAAAATTTATTGAGCTTTACAGTTCCTTACGCCATTACGTGTCTGATGAACTGTCAAGCAGTGGTGTAGTTTTTTATAAAAGTTGCAGGGGGAGGGAAGGATGAGCAGGAAGCAATACTTTGCCTGTACGCTGCTTTGCCTGTAGATATACTAAAAGCTAGTTTTATCTCTAATTTCGCCTACTTTGTCGCATTTTTTTCGGTGTTGGGGGTGGGGGCGGTAAGATAAATACTTGAGCCCTTGCTGAATAAGAAGCTATGCCCCTGCTCTCTGGTGAACTGGACGGTGAACTTTCAGGAGAGAGCACGGCAGGGAAAACGGCCTTGGTGCAGGTCTTTCTATCGGATGGAGCCGACTACCCAAAGAACTACAGCATGGTAAGCCTGTTGCGGAACGCCAGATGGTGCAGTCTATCACTGCCGTCTCCTAGCCGGTCGTTTGGGCAGCTGCTGTGTCACAAAAACAATGACTACTCCCCACGCACCACCAAAGGGCATGTTCCATGAATGAGTTGCCTACTGAGGTCGGAAGCTCGAGCTATTTCGCCGCTCCGTTTTTTGAGGAGAGTTTGTTGTGTCAAATTTGGAATTTTAAGTGTGTGCGTTGCATTGTAGAATATTACTATTTTGTCGCAGTGATTGTTGATAATTCGCTCCCGTTGACCTGATATTCCAAATGCCAAAAAATTGCTGGAAGTTCAAACTTGTTGGGTGTCCCCAAATGCTGATTTCCACTAATGCATCGTTCATATCGCGGAAGCATCGTTGGCATCGGTAAATGGTCTACCGATTAAGGAGCTCATCAGAGCTGGCAGCGGATTCCGAACACCACAGTCTTTTGCGATGGTGCAAACGATGCATTTGTTTACATCGATTGTTTTATTACTTGTGGTTTACTGAGTGTGGGTGGGGTATCAGTCCGACTTACACTTGCAAATTGGTGACGATCTGCTCAGATACCTGATATTCCCATTTCCCACTTCCACCCACCTCCCCAACCACTTCAACCCACTTCTCAGAACTTTTGCCGCACTTGACCAGGGTTCTCAAGGAATGCGCTACCAATGGTGTACATCAGCTGTTCAAGTCGTTTGAGTGATTCACCCATTCTCAGGAGTTGCAGGCTCATTTCATAGGGTATCATAGGGTATCATAGGGTTTCATAGGGATCGGGTATCGGGAATTTTTTATCGGGAATTTTTTGGTCGCGAAACGTTGATCGGGTTTCTGAGTCATGTAACCAATTGAGGTTACTTCAGTCGCAGCGGTACCCTCTGGAATTTGGCATCACATGAGCTCAGCGAACAGTGTTCGCTTTAGCTGACTGCAGGCATCGTTTAAGCGCAGGAAGTCCTGGTGAGACAGCGAGAAGCAGACCCTAGACCCTGACCCCCGTGTTGCAGACTTTCACGGTGGACCTGCACCAGAAGCAGGTGCGGATCCCTGACACGTCAGAGTCTGTGGAGCTCTTCATTTACGACGCTTCCGGCAAGAGCATCTACCGGGACGTCCTCAGCAATGTGGTGAGTCATCCTGACCTCAGCGACGCACCGCCGACAGCTGTATACAACAAGATTGCACAAGTGCTTGCGGGTTCCCTTTGCTAAGGGGCGGAGCTTCTGTGGACAATTTGTGTTTTGCATTATTAATGGATGTAAGTTGTTCAGTGCATTTGCGAGGAGCATTATTCACATAGATAGACGGTAGCAATAGGCTTATTCCTCGGAAAAAGAACAGGAGAGTGAAAGATGGGCTATTGTTGCTGTCTTATGTATCACGCGATGCATTCAACGTGATGCATGGGGCTCTCTGGCCAAACCGACTTCTGGCTGCCGGCATGCCTGACGGGAGCCGGGTGGGATGTGCTGACCACCAGGGACGTAGGTGGGTCATGGGAAACAATCTCCATCTGTAAGCGAGGTTTCCACGCGGTATAATGGGCTGAATGGCTTGCAACCTTGCCGTAAATCGGTGAGTGAGAGCCCGTCTCTCCCTCGCCCTCTCTATATACGCTACGTGGTGGGAGATGACTGTTTCTAATGCCTGAAAACATGTTATCAGTTTCAAGTACAAAGGGCTAACACATTGGGAAAGCGTTCATTTCAACTTCAGATGAATGTTACCATAGCGGTTGCCGATTTGGTGTCACGTAGTATGTGTCGAAGGTGATGAGGTACAACAAGGCAGCAAATATGAATCTTCGGAAACACCATTTAGGGCATTGTTCAGTAATGAGCCTACGGCGTGTTTAATAGACGAAATTAGGAAATGTTCAGCTTTCAATTCGTGCCCTTTGAATTTCCACTACAATTGGGACGTTTTACGATTTCAAAGGTTCATGAAAACCGCACTCACTGCCACTGAAAATGCCAGATCTTCCTGACTTCGGCACTGTCATTTGTCAAAGCTGCTGCAACGGCACGCCTTATGGCGCTTCGAAACTGGACTCACGCTTCAACGAGCTCCTGCTGCCGAGAAACAGTGACAGCGTGAAAAACCTGGAAACTACTAATCCACTTTCGCCGCTTCTGTGCACGTGACATTGCATATGCAAAACGCAAATCTGGCCTCACGTGATTCCCTGCTCAATTCTCTACGAGATGTGGCCACGGTTTGAACGAGTGCTCGTCGACTTTGTCATTGGTCACACTTTCAGGCCACCCGTGCAAAACCAGTGGGGTAAAAGCGCACCTTGTGGCACGACTCCTGAACCCCGAACGTCAGGAGTTGCACCTGTCTTCGACTATACCAGTCGATGCGGCCCATCATTTGGGCGGATTAGACATTTGGGCGGAATAGATATTTGGGAAAATTGGACATCCCCGCCGAAAACCTGGTTTTTTAGTCCAGCCCATCTTTCTACTGTCGCTCTGTGTGAGGCTTCCGCGTCTACACAGGACATTCCTCGACGGAATCAGTCGTTGAAACAGGCGGGTTAGCGTACTGACGCTCGTGTGCGTGGCAACATCGCGGGAACACCGCTCGTCGTGTTGGCGAACAAGCCGATTGTGACCGTGGCGTGTGACCCCGATGTTCCAGCTGAACCCCAACCTGGTCATCATCGTGTACGACGTCACCAACGAGAAGTCGTTCCAGGCAGTTGCAGAGTGGCACAAGTTCATCAAGGAGGCCAAGAAGGACAAAAACACCATGCCCGGTAGGGGAGGTGGATGCTCGGCTACGGTCACGCTTGTAGGGTCGGTTGAAGAAGTGGGCCCTGGCGTGATCCAATCAAGACTCAATTGTGTACAAGTTTTTATCAACAACCAGCATTTTCAACAGTGAAACGTATATCTGGTGATGACGTGATGGTCATGCCATTCGGTTAAGGACCAAACAATGATATATGAGTGCTCGTAAGAATATTGTTGGAAAACTTTTATGAAGGTCTCTCAGCATAACTATGCGGATGCTGATCTCAAGCAGCAGCGCATCCAATGCGGCCGTGGGAGTCTTGACCTCTCTGAGTATCTAAGTGTGGACTCTACGTCACAGAGAGTTGTCATGCTCCCGCTATGTCGGACTCTGAATGAGTCCCAAGAACATCCTGGGTCTATATGAGCTTAATCGTACCCAGTCGCGTACAAATGACCCAAGCAAATGCGTTCCTAATGCGCATAGCTCTGTAACCTAAATTCAATGGGACGCCTCAGTGATGGGCTGTAACGCGACGCGCTTTGCAAGAGCGCCTTTTCAATCATAGAGTCCCCGAAAAAATACCCGGCCTTGCCTTGACGAAAATTTTAGTCCGCTTCTGCTGTTACGGTCATCACTTGGTGATATCTGAATACCGTTCATCGTTACATCTGCTACGCCCTCCACCATGAACTGCAAACAACGTAACGTACAATGTTGTTGTTCTTTATGGCCATGGGTGTGAGAGAGTTGAAGGCCGGATAAGCCACACCTCACCCACTTTGTATCAAAAGCTGACCCAAACTGCCTTATTAAACTATGTTATGTCCGCATATGTACCTGGATTGGAAGCAGCCTTGGATGTTATTAAAGTTGCGATGGGTATGCCCCCTTCGTTTGTCGAGCGCGTAGGAATGCACTAAAAGTACATGAGGGACCTCGTCGTCGCACTTGTTCTGTAATGTTCTCTGTGACCCATGCGTCTGTGAAGATGTGCATACTGCAGAGCTCTCCAAACCATAGAGCGCTGAGGACATTCGTCTCTGGTTTGTGATCCGGGTGTCCTGAACTCGGAGAGGTGCGGCGATGGCGACTGTAAGCGCCGGGGACACAGGAAGGTTTGAAAAAGTGATTACGCAAAGTAACTCAAAGTTCAATATTCGATGATGTCGATGCATTTTCGCGGTGCAGTTTTCACATGTAAACGTTATGTACGCAAAAAATGTGGGAGCCATCGCAAAAACCGGCCTCTGTTTCTGCGCCTCTGCCAAGAACGCCAGAAGCTGCATGCGTCGTTATTATTGTAAAGTCATCACACTTATCATTTCAAAAATTGGTGCCGAAAGCCACGGTGGGTTGCCTCCTCTGCTTGTTTGAAATGTTTTGCGCGTTTGCCGCCAGGGGTGCTGATGGCGTGCAAAATCGACCTGACTGAACGACGCATCATCAGTCCCAAGGAAGGCAATGACCTCGCCAACAAGCTGGGCTTCGTTTACATGGAATGCTCCGCGGTGAGTCATGAGTCACATGCATTGAATCGTGAATCAAGTCAATCCTAAGCAACAGCGCATAAGTTGTGAGGACGCAGCTGTCGTGCTAACGCATGATTCTTGCTGATGCAGGAGTAATGGTAACACATGGGTCATGTGGGTCATGCCAATGACTGGGCCATGTGGCTATGTCTGTGAGGTTGATGTATAAGCCATGTTAAATTACGACTATAGCGATGCCTGATTCAGGCTTCGGCTCGGCTTATGTTGACGCATGGTTCATGTCAAAGCGTGTCACACTACGGTATGAGCCATGACAACACACGCTAATGCAAATATGTTACTCGTGTTAATGGCATTGACCATGCTGGTGCACGAACGATAAAAAACGACCTGATCTCTTATGAGCTTTCCGGACATCACCGCAAGACTCCATAGTTTTTACACGGACCCAAATGTCGCCAAAGTTCTCAGTTCTCACGTAAGGAAACGGGCGGGGGGGGGGGGGGTAATGAACCAAGTCTAAGTTGGTTCCTTCTCTGGCTTTTCCTGATGACTAAACGCAGCGGTTGAAGTTTATGCTTATTGACGAAGGCAGGTTGCCAATGTACCCTGTGATGCAATGTACCCCCCACTCCTGTGCATATGTCTGCCTAGATGGACGTATTGTAGACCAAGAGGGCTGTGCGCACGGTTTTACGGACAATTGATGTCACCCAGTTTGTGTACCATGTTGGCATGTCTTTTCGCAGAAGGAAAACCAGAACATCGACGACGCGTTCTTCTACCTAGCAAACGAGTGGCACAAGATGTACTCGAACGGTGTGAACTCGACGCTGAATGCTGCTTAGGAATGGGCGTGAAGCAGCACTCAAATGCATGAAGCCACCAAGACCGCGACGCCGCCTGTTAACCCATATCGCTGTTATGAACGTGTGACTCGGTTGGTGCGGTTGTGTGGAATCAGAGCTGGGCGCAAACAATAAGGATAAAGGAGCAAGGTGGCTCGTCAACGCGTTGGCCAACACATGGTGCTTCAGCCGTGACGAGATCGTGTGGTCACGGAAGTAGAATGAGCAGGGCGGTGGCCTTGCTTTCGGTGATAAACATTATGTAACAGGCTCTTGTACTGGTCAGTTTGTGAGATAGTTGCGTGCGGATGCACAAATCAGACAAATCCTGGGAGAAAGCGGACTCGAATATCAGGCTCTGACTTGGTGCGTTCTGGGAAAGCGAGGTCTCCCACGCCTGGTCCTGGCATTGCAACTGCGTGCGAAAGCGTCCGGAAAACAGGGTTACTAGGCGTTGAAAACTAGATTTCAGGGAGCGAATTGATGTCCCACATTATAGCTAGCATAAGGAGAGCATAGCGCGATGCACCACACGCCTGAAACTAAGTACATTGATTGAAAAAAGGTTGCCAAAAAAACTGTCAGGCTCACCTGAAAGGCAAAGAAAAATGGGACAAACGGACATGGCTTCGCAAGATGACAAAGATGCAAAGCACGTTTGTCTGATAGGTTTGCAACATGCAACCTTACGAATAGATCGCTGAGAGCATTCATGATTTCAGGTCGTTCTCGGTCTTCAGGGGTGGTTGATGCTTGCCAGTCCAGATGTGCTGTTGGATTAGACTGTGTTAGGGACCAGCAACAATCATTACAAACAAACGTTTAGCAATGGTTATGATTATTGCCGGTGCAACCAGATGCACCGTCATTCCGGGGGGCATAGCATCACACGTGCCTACCCTGGTAAAAGCGATGACACCATTTTCAACAACTTACCTTACACAATAATTGCTTTGTTCTCCATGGAAGGTACCAGTATCATCTTGAGCCACAAATCACCGCCCCCGCCCCGCCCCACCTACCGCCATCCCACAGAAATAAACTGCCGATGGTGTCGGAATCAATCGAATGGTTCTATTGACTCTTGATTCTCTCACATATGCAGTAGCTTTGTGGCTTATATCGGGGTCAATTCGGTTCCCATAGTCCCTACAGTCTCCAGACTATTATTGTTTGGTTAGGGTAGAGTTCCCTCGGCGTTTATGTACTTAATTCATCTTAGGTGAATGGAGTTAAGAGGTGTCAAAATAGAAAAATGCATTTCACCACTGTATGATATATATATATATATATATATATATATATATATATATATATATATATATATATATATCTATATATATATATCATGTTTCAATGTGATGCTGCAGCCGTTCTGGTCTACCGCAGACGCCAAGTGTTAGCCGCAGTGACGTCACTTTCTAAAAATTGTTGGGAGGGCTGGGGAGGGCGATTGAGCTGATAGGGTTGATCTAACCTGCCCTGAGACCTGACTTCTCCACGAATTTCGTTAACCTTATTTCGCGCCATCGATGTTGAACTTAAAACAAGCTTGAAAGATATTTTGTTCATTTGAAATTGCTTTGCTGCGGAGGAATGACTTTTCTTTCAAGGCGAGTGAAGCTGCATTTTTGAAAATGCCTTGGAATGGAGTGTAATTAAAAAAACACATCTTATTAATTTGAGCCTTCATGATCAACGAAAAATTATCGTTCATGAGAGATGACCAGAGGTGCAAACAACGGTTTTGTGTAGAATGGAGTGGCCTCACACGTACGGGTGAGGACCTATCAAAAATTGTCCAAGTACACTGCTATAATGTACCTATATTTAAAAGTAAAGCTTCGCTCGCACAATCTTCCCAGCAGACATCTCTATAACTGGAAGGACAAAATAGGTAAAGGCTGGTGATGAAAAAAACCATTGACTATTGAGGAAATTAGGTCTCCGGAGTGGCCGTCCTAACAAGAGCATGACCAACACTTCGACATGCTCTGGAGTTCGATATTCGCAAGAAAGGCCTCGGATCCTGGGGTTCCGCGGTGATGAGCTAAGAGTTCGCATGTTGAAAATAATCTACCTGCTGGATACCAGGAGTAATGGATAGACGAATTGATCAAAAAACCATTGACTATTGAGGAAATTCGACATTTGGAAACCGTGCTCGCAATGGTATTTCTTAGTAAATGTCGATCAACACTACCATAATATTTTCTTCACTCTGGAAAAAACCGCAAAGAATGTGTTGACTCCATTCCTAAGCCCCCTTTTTGTGGTACAACCAGATGGAAGATACACCGACGAACCATACATGAATTCGTTCCGTCCCGTAATGTACTTGAGCTCGTCCCGATAGCTTCGCTGCTTAGAACGCCCGCCTTCTGATTCCCAGACCTGCAACGCAGGGGATTCCAGTGCTTTAGGTGTTCGCCGTTTGTTCTCTACTGGAATATGCTCTAGCTGATGGCAGCGGCCATGCAAACGGACAGCGCTAACCGCGCCATGGCTGAGAAAGCAGCTCTTATATTACAAATGGCGAGAGTCGTGTGTTTATCTTCTGATCCCCAGCAGTCTGAACGTAGATGTGCTAAAGTATCCTTTTTTCGTGAGAACAGGGATGGAGTACTGAGTGAGGTGAGTAAGGTCTCCCGATTGCGCCGTAAGCTCTCAAATTTTGTTTAAAGCTATCAGGTTTGCAAGTTTAACATATACCAGGCTCGTAATGAAGTCGCGGAAAAGTGAAATAAACCGACTGTCTATATAAGAATGCATTTCATACAAGGTAGCGTAGACAAAAGTTAATCCCCGTTTCACTCTATAACAAGCGCATTTCTTGCACAACCAAGACTGCGATGAAACTAGAATGGCATTCAATGACAACACATAATAAAAAGGCAGCTATCAGACATGACTCAGGAAATGTCTCTCTGAAGACAAGAACGAGGCCCTGTAAAGCCCATCTTAGAGCGCTGCGTCGTCACTGCTCTGATGCCTTTCTGGGCGGCCCTGGGGCGACTTTACGGGATCGACCGGGACGAGGATTGGCTCCAGCGGGACGGGGCGACAACACACACAGCACGGGCTTCACTAGATTGGCTCAAGCACCACATCCACGTGTACAAACCAGCGAGCCCATAAGAGTTCAAGGCCATCTTCAGAAAGGTAGCCGCCGCGGACAACCGACAGCACATTGGATTACTTGTAACAGGCTCAGCTGTTGCGATCCTGAACGCCCATGGAACTGGATCACCTTTTGATGTCACGATTTGACGGGTGCGGAATCACTAATGACCACCGCTGTCGCTGCTCGTGTTTTGCCATTTAATTGGCAGTCAAATGTCACCAATCGCAATTGCGAGATTAATACAAATGTCACCATTAATCAAAACTTAGGTGAGCTATTATCAGGAACATCCTGTATATACTTTAAAAAGTTGCCCAATATTGCAGTCGCTAATGCTTTATGCCAATCCAGGTGACATGTGAAAACTCGTAAAAAATATGCAGATGGTCTAATATCTTAATTTGAGTTTGAATGACAAAACCATGAGGCACCTACAAATTACTATTTGGCGCAACATCAACGTGGTGCGACTAGTGATTTGCTTAGGTACCTAGCATGCCAATAGTCAGGCGATTTTCCTTGACTTTTTTTTACCCGGTGTTCTCTTTTTGTACATATACGCTGAGGGATCTCAGAGGAGCAATGGGCAGGGCGGGGGGGGGGGGGGGTTAGGGAAGGAGCGGCTCAACGTTAGCATGCAGTCTCCCTCCCCCCCCCCCCGCCCCCCGGTCGAAGCATATAGAGTGCCGATCTTAGTTGGCCGGCTGCAGGAGTTCTACCAGTAGCTGCGCCGGTGCCGGTATGGGCCTAACCCAGTAGCGCAGCCAGGGAGGGCACAGGTGGCACGCAACCGCCTCCCCCCCTTAGGTTCCGAGGGGCCTTTCGGGCCCTCGGAACCGGCGATTAAGCACCAGAAAAGCCAGTCAGAGATCTCATTCAGCGGCCCTGACCCGCAAGGCCGGGCACTCAAATGCTAAACAGAGGGCCCTGCGCGCTGATCAGGGGCTCACTGAGTCGATAAGGGCCCATATTTTAGTCAGACGCCACCAGTAATGCACAGTCGGCTCCGTGGCGGCATAGGCCTAAGGGGCCATTTCCCAAGCAGGGACAAAGCCGGAGCCAGCGATTTACATTACTCGGGGCCCTACAGTTTCTAACAGGGCCCTACAGTTTCTAACAGTGCCCTGTGATGTCAAAGGGGACCCGAGCCGACCAAAGGAAGTTTTCGATGAGGCCCGAAGAGGGGTCCGGGCTGCCCACCGGACCTGAAAATCAAAGATCCGGCTCATACGGGCTCGAATGACTCGCTGTAAGTCACATAAAGAATCGCGGCCCGTAGGGTCGCGGCCTGAGATACCAGTCAGAGGTCCTCTGCAACCGTTTTAGGAACACCTGAGACAATGCGCGCGTCTATGTTGGTTAGAAACCACGGACACCGATCAGTCGGCTCCATGTCCGTCCGAACCCTTAAGACTCATTTCAGAAGCAAATACGAGGCCGGCGTCCGCGATTTGCAATGTTCGGGGTTCCCTGACACAATGAGGGGCTTCTGTATCGGTTAGGGGCCACGGTTAGGGTTAGGGACGGAAGCTCGAAATGGCAGAGGGTCTCTTGCGTCGGTCGGGCCCTCTGGCAATTGAAGGAGACATGAATCTATGATGATGAGTGCTCACATTGAGGAAATAGGAGAGTCCTGTGTCAGTCAAGGCCCCCAGTACCGAACGGTGGGCCCCCCCCCCCCCCCAGCCCTTTTCCAGCCTGGACCCGTTACGCTCAACTGGAGTTCACGCGCCAATTATTTGACCACCTGCGGTGAGCAGGGATGTTGTTGCGTTCATGACGGTTCATGTGTCGATCCGGGGTCAACTGAGCGGGTCAGAAGGCCTCCCGCGTCAGGGTCAAGCGGACTAATGTAACATGATGTATCCCTCTAAGGGCCTCCGGATCGGCTAGGAAATACCGCTCCGTGTCGCCAGAATGAAGACCGGAGAACACACCGCGGTGGAACAGAATGACCCTTCAGCTCTTGACCGAAAACAATAATGTGTCCCGCGGTGTTGTACTCAAGAGGGCCCTTGTACCACAAAGAAATAAGGGGTCTCATTAGCGCTGAATGAAGTGGGTCGAAATAAGTTCAAAATGCGCAGGGTCAACCCATGTTTCTCTGCGAACGTTTATAATTTTGCGGAATCGACTAATGAAACC